CCAACTGTTCTGCAGTTTGTTCCAGATAGGAGTGCGTATACCGTGGGGGACGAAAGTATCCAATCACTTGCAACGAGATTGAACAAATGAAATTTGGTTCGAGGTTTTAACCCTTGCAAGGTATATTTAATTTTAATTTAAAAAAATAAATAGACAGTATATCCAATTCGTTTATTTATAATACATTTACTTTGTAAGAACAGCTGAAGTTTGAAACTTTGTGGATATTATTTTACCCTCCCTTGTACTTCCTGGTGTTTAATTATTACTAAGAGTAGTTATCGTTCTATTCTAATTTTTCCAAGTTTAACCCTTTAACTCTCAGTGTCCTTTTTCGATGACACTTTCGTTTCAACTTTCTATCAAATTTACAGTGTTTTCACCTGTTGTAAAATGATCGATTTTAGTCTGAAAATTCTGCAAGAGCTCCGGAACATTTAACAGCGTATTTGATCGGTACATTGGAGTATCCAGTTCTGTTAAACAGATTCACGACTCGCGTGGACTTCACGGAAAGGCAGGTTACCCCCTTCGAAGTGAATATTCCCGATGCCCGGTGTCGATAAAGCACCTCGCCGTTTGATCGTGCTCGCGTCCTCGCAGGAATCTCCCGATCTCATTGTTCGTGGCCAGCAGGGCAGAAAGCGGCGCTTCCGGTTTCAGGTTGGCTCGTAGGCACGACGACGACGAAACGAACGAACGAACCGAGGGCTCGGTTGCATCCTGACCATCGCAGGTAAACACCTGCGCGCCACATTTCACGGGTAAAAGGATCAAGGTCGAGAAGGAAACGCTCAGGTTATCCGTTACATCCTTCTTTCGAAAATCCATCGCGTTACGTTGCGATCGCGTGTTTTACAGGCGCAGCTTCTCTCGTTCGTTACGCAACCGTGTGCAGACGACGCGAGTCACACAGGTGAGAAAAAAAAAGGAAAGAAAATCGACAGAAACGAGGGGGAAGAAAAATTATACGACGTGGAAAAACTCTCGGTTTTGTCACCGCTGCGAACGTGAGTACCAAAGTGAGAACAAACTGTGTATAACTGTTTCCTCGTGTATTCTCTTCTGTTTCTCTCCTCCTCCTCTTCTCTGAACTATCATCTCGATAAAAGAAAATCCTACGGTATAACGTAGAACGTAATTTGCTTTTACAGCCAGGGCTCTTAACAACCAACGCTGCTATTATCCAAGTAGATGGAAAACTGTCGTGTGGCACAGGAAGCCAACACAACGCACCGCGGAACCGGAAGTCGCCGTGGGATACTTGAAAAATATCGCGTATATACATACAGGCCTTCGCGCAGCCTGGGAACCAACTGCTTGACACGCACTTACAGACGTTTCGTGTGCACGCGTTCTTTATACGTTGCGTGTGGAGTATATCGTTTATGATACTAGTTAGTGTTAGTCAGATGATGTAGGTATATATGTATATGTATGTACCTGTTATATACCATCGAGGATGTCGGTAAACTCGTCCGTCGATACTGGCGCAACAATTTCTTCTCGCAGGGGCTCGTTAACGCTTTCCTACCGATCTACTGTTCTACGATGTTGCTGGTATTAGATAAAATAGGATATTGGACGTTAATAATTCGAATTAGCTATTCACGAACGCGCCCATCCGCTTCCGAGTACGTGTGCAACCCACACTCACCGCCCATGCTCTACACGATCGGTGGATGGTTACCTTTATGATTCATGAAACTTATCTTTATGGTCAGGTGAGTAACACCGTTGGTCCCATAACAATGGGGAAAGCCGATGATGAGTCCTCCCCGCCGTTTCTTGCCTGGACATGGAACACACCATGCTTACCACGAGAGTTTGCGAATTTAACGATTCTCTTTCACCCTTTCACTGCTAGTCGCGCCTATAGGCGGTTTCGATATTTTCTCACTCTGCGCCCTTGGCGGCTATAGGCGGTTCGAAAATATTTTCTCGCGCTGCGCCCTTGGCGGCTATAGGCGGTTCGAATATATTTTCTCGCGCAGTGTTTTTTGCTCCTATAGGCGTTTCAAATATATTTTCTCGCGCTCTGCCCTTGGTGACTTTAGACACACTTTCACCTCAATTTAGTACCAAATTTTTGACAATTCTGTGATCCTCAATAGAACGATAAATTTAAAATTTCATTTTCAAAATTTTTAAAAACTTTAAAACGCCAAAACTAGAGATTTTGCGACTAAAATTAAACACCTTCCGTCTCCCACACACGCTACATATCAAAATCTACCGCAGTGAAAGGGTCGAACGATAATGTCTACAAATCCAAGAAAAACAAAATAATCGTTTCTCTAGCAGAAAATAACGTTCGTTCAGATGATCGTACACGATATTCTAGACAGCCTCTGGTTCTACTAGACGACGCGATGGTTTGCTTGATTCACATCCAGAAGTCGTGGGCGAGGAACGGACGTCATTAGAGCTTGCAACTTCCTCGTCCTTGACGGGCAAACGATATTTCTGCTAGCGTAGAAACGATTTTTTTTTGTGTCAATGCTTGGACAGTGGGAGATTACTCGGGCGAACTGTCTTCACTACGCTCCAGATGCGCCGTTCACCTACACACGCGAGAATGTAAAAATAATCGGGGGAACGATATCGCCGTCTCGTTGACCGCGTCTCAAACAGAAAATACTCGAACGAGAGAGATCGATCCTATTTGTATCACCGGAGACGATACAACGTGCTCGTATTATCCACGAAAAGCTCGACCACCAACGAGAACGGCTCGTTCGTTTTTAACTAGCGGCAATAAAACGGCTAAATATCGACCGGTCTAGCAGAAAGATCAGAAGGCACGTTAGCGAATATATATGTATATCAAACGATTTTATTACCTAGTTCCAGATCAAACGATCAATTATACCAGGGAGAGAGAGAGAGAGAGATAGTGAAAAAAGAGTATCGAAGCTGTGATTAAAACCGAGGTGCGACCACTTTGCACCACGTTTATAATCGCGTTGGTAGACCAAAGAAATTGTAAACGTGATTACACCTTCGTCTAATGTTACTTCCACGTCTGATCGTTTAATTGAATACGAGTTTCAGAGGCTGTGGTTCTATTAAAACCACCGAGTGTTAGAAGAAAATCACGCCAGTATCGAGCGGGATGAAACGTTTGTTGGAAAGAAAACACGGATACTCTACGGTGGAAACTTAGACCGATAATTAGAGCCTGTTGGCAACGGATGAGTCTGTGAAACGGACTCCCGGAAGCTATTATTTTCATTTTGGTTTGCTAATGACCGGTTGTACAGGAGCGTGAACCACCGATGCCGTGTCATCCTCGAGACACGATAAAATACCGTTTCACGGATAATTACGCTCGTTTCCACCGGCGACGCGAATCACGATCGATAAATTAAGAAGAAAAAAAAAAGCGAACCTGCGAAAAGTTGCAGAGAGAATCGTTGCTCCAAAGGAGATGGTGTTGAATCGTTCGATAAAACGTCTGGTCGCCATTCTTATTATTAGAAACGTAAATATTAAAGTACCGCGATCATCGTTATTTATAGGACCTGTTGCACGTTTATTCGTAACGAGAAACTACAAATTCGTATCGTTGGATTATAAAGCTTGTCCTCCATCAAGGCTGCACGAGTTGGTCCAATTTCGAGGTACGCCCACAGAGTGAAGAGAGGAGGCGCAGAAGTGATACCAATCGAGTGAGATTTACACAGTTATACAGAGGTTCGTGCAGCAGCTCACCAGGTGTTCGACAATGTAACCGTAGGATAAACGTAGGGGAAGATTTGTCGAATATCGGTAAGCGAACCGTGGGAGAGCCGATAGGAGTCCTCTGTCGTCACGGTGCTGTTGAACGTCGACGGGCGAAATGCATCTGGACGATGGCCAGATTCAAAAATAAGCCGAAATTCGACGGATTCGCCGATCATCCGCGACCACTTCGCGTGTACACGTTTACACCAGCGGCAGTAGCCATAATCTGTAGGAAGAACCGAGCGGCGTGGCGTTTCGTTCATAGTACAGGTGTCTCGGCTAGTATCGCCGCAATATTCGCGCATCCTCGAATCATCACTATTTCCGTGATCGTGTGTCGCTGTTGGCAAGATCGTGGTCGCGTGTCCCACGCTCTTGTCTCATCCCCCTGCCGAAATAAAGCGTACTTCCTGTAAAAATGACTCTCCGGTTTCCCATACAAAAATTTCGAACGACTAGTCTCTCCACCTACTCTCTCTCTCTCTCTCTCTCTTACACATGATTCACTGGATCGATTTAACAAGCGAGCCAGCTAGCCAGCCAGCGTGGTGTATTCGTTTTCGACAAATCTCGCAACCCGAGCTTTTTAATCATTCTCCAAACCGTTGACGCAACAACACTCGTGTAACGACCACCGCGGTGCTGCTTAACGATGACGACACCGATCTCTGTTCCCTGTATTTTTAAATGCCGCCTTTTATCTCACCGTCCAGCCGCGAATCTTCCGCGATCGCCGCCTATAAATCACTCTATGCTCTCCTCTCTGCTCTTACCCACACCGCGAGACACCAGCGCACACAGAGACGTGTCAACGGGGGGAGGGAGAGACCATGCTGAGAGAGCGAGAGAGGGAGAGACCACGTTGAAAGAGAGAGAACGTGGGAGAGAGAGATGTGTTCGGCGAGAGTTCCCGTAGCGTCGGAGGTGGGAGTGAAACGCTGTGAAAAGGGATGGAGGGGCGAAGGGGAGGGAGAGAGGGGGCAAGAGAGAAGGATAGACAGCCTTTTGAGACCCCTCGGTGACCAGTTTAGTTCTGCTTGGCATTCGAACCGCACCAGAGATCATGTGACAGAAGACACGGTAAAGATCCTCGCGCACACCTCGATCCAGGAGCATTTCGGAGATCAAGCCAGGAGCTGGATGTCCCGATCGATCGATAGAATTCAACCCCCTGTGTGCCTCTCTGTGAACTTGTTCGGTCACCCTGTGCCATCGTCTCTCTTCATTTCGTCCACGGCGATTCTTTTCCGCGCACGTGTCGTTTTCTCTTCTTCGATTAATCGGAGCAAGATTTTTTTCTTCACCTTACCTCGTAAATACAGTCGACGTTGTTCGTTCTGATATCGCGTCGAGAGGAGAAGCAGTGTGTGAAAAGTAGTATCGAGATCGACGATAGACGAAAAGACACGTTAGCGGAGAGGTATTCTTTTTCCGCCTTTCGACGAAAACACACGTCAAGGATGACCAGTTGGAAAGCGGCTGAGCTGCAATCGTGACGACACAACACGCGACACGTGCACCACGTTCGAACGTACAAACCTGCGTATAAAGTTAACGAGGAGGAAACGAGTCTCTTCTCTCTCTGTCTCTCTCGCCCGCGCTCTCTGTCTATCTGTCTCTGTCGGTCTCGTCGAGTGAGGCCTCTCACGGTGCACGCTCGCCGTCGTAAATGACACTTGTGAAATCAACGCACACATTTTCACCGCTTCGAGCGAGGAACTGTAGAAAAGAGGGTCGTTGACAGCGACGCGCGCGATAAATATACCGGTGGAAGGTTCGCGTTTGCTGTTCACCGAGTGTTTCGTCGCGGGGGAAAAAAAAAGGGTAGTTCCGTAGAATATCACGGAGGTAGGTTGCGAAGACGATTCAAATTTCCCGCGTTTTTCACGTGTCCGATTTTTCGTCGAATTCGAGTTTCTTTTTTGGAAATAATCGCGTGTCGGTCGGAGTTTCTTTTCTCGAAGAGAACCGCGAACTGTGTGGAAGTGGTGGTCGAAAAGGATTTTGGGAAGAGAAGAGATATGAGGTCGACCAGTCGACAGACGATCTAAGAATATCGCGGGTGGATCGTTGAACCGGGTTTCCTTTCTTTCCACGTGTCCACGAGCGCACAGGGAAATAAATCAGCGACTTTCTCCCGTACATCGTCGACAACAGTAGCCCGTGAAGCATGTCGGGGGACACGACGTCCGACGAGGAAGGATCGCAGGAGGACTCCCCGCGTTACGACGTCGACGATCTCGAGATCATCAAGACCATAGGTGAGCGAGACAAGGTTCATCCTGACGCCTTTCACTGGCAAAGATTCCCACTAGGAGATCAGAGCTTTCTATTCCTATCGATGGAACGGTTATTTAGCGGCCTGAACAATCGTTCAACTCGAAAGTTTTCCGCGAAACAATTGCTCTCCGTTCAATTGTCGAGAGGATTTTATGCATTGGATTGTTCGGCAAGATTGTGGCGATTTTTCATTGGTGATGACTCAAGCACCTTGTAACAAATCATACTGTATGAAAATATACGAAATTTTTACATATTCCGAAAGATTATTTCTTCGGGTAATTTTGAAAATTTATTCGACATAATTGCTAATTTTTTTTCGAAGTTAGACTGTCTCGAAAATGGAAGAAAATAGAGTAGGTTTCTGATACTCGATGTTTTTCTTTTATCAAAATGACATTGATACGTGATTTTTATGGAGAAAATAGTCTGAAAGAATTGTTCCATGGAAACTTCGATTTTAACGAGAAGAAAAGCAGAATTTTTGCCAAAATGAATTTTTCAAATCGCAGAAAAGACGGTGAAAGATTGTAGAGCAGAGTAAAGAAGTTATTGTTTAATATTAAAAATTACTACGAATTTTCTGGACAATCCAATATTAACGCATTTTGTGCCACGTGCGTCGTTGATGATTTATGGCAGTCAACGAGAGAACTCATTGCACGAATTAGGATGTTCTTTAACCTCAGAATACTGATATCGCTATCGCACATCGCGCGATTCTACGTCGCCAAATTTTTTAGTCATCAAGTCACTCGTTATAAAAAGATCTATTCCAACTAAAATTTCTCCGCAATTTACCATTTTAACTCATTTTCTCTCTCTATGAAAGCAAGCAATTATGGTCTCGCTGAAACGTTAATTATCTTCGGTATCTTCATCATTCGTGAGCGTAAACGAACAATATTTCACTTCTTAATGGAATATGTTTTCCGTTAACACAGTTTATTTCTCGTATCAATTTCATCAAATTACCAGAAATTCAACAGAGTCAGATGCAATCGTCTCGCATCCACTCGAAAATCAAACTTTTCCAAAAATCTCTGGCCACCGTGAGTCGAAATATTTCTCGCCTCGCCTCCTCGAGAAAATGTCAGAGAGAAGAGTCGAACTACCCTCTCCGATCGAGGAAGTGGGCCACTGGAGAGTGAGAGGCCGCGGAGTGTATATTTAACTGGTCGTTAAGTTGCACGGGATCAGCGAGCCGCAGGTGTTTCGTAGTTGATTTTTCGATCGTTCTCTCCTCTTGTGAAACCGTGCGCGCAGCTCTGACTAACGCGTCAAATCATAAAGAAAATCGTCCGTTTCGTCTCGTTGTGCCAACAATCTATCGTTAATTTTCCCGTACGAAAGGACTGATTACACGCGAGATATTATAGCCGTGTTACACGACACACGTGTACATAAACGGTGTTCAAATAAATCCCTAGCGAGCACATCAATCCTTTATCGTTCCATTTACTTGGATCGGCGGTATAGACGAAGCCAGGTCGTAAAGGAGCGCGTAAAAGCGGAGATCGATCAGGACAGATGTGCGGCCGAGACGTAGAACAAGTTTTGGACGAACACCAAAACTCCTCTCGGGTGTCCGAACGGGAGAAGAAAAAAGAACACAGCGTGTCGACGGGGAGAGAAGCAGGACCGGGGCGCAACCGTAATTCGAGCGAAGTAGCCGCTCGTGTGATGAATGAACGGTGTCGCACGAAATATTAACCCCTTCTGACACCGTCTCTCCTCCCTTTTTCATCGTTCCTCCTTTCCCGCTGGAGAATTTCAGTCTTCGAAACGTTCCAATGAGAGATTTAGTCATTTGTGAGATAAGAAGTGGTTTAGATTGGAGAAAATGGAGATAGCTTTGAAGTCGTGATCATATTTTTGGCGTTTCATGCGTACTTTGCTCGAGCTAAGTGGAAAAAATTGGGATAATTATGCGTGGGATTGTTAATTTGTTCTATTTAAAGTTTTTGCAGCGGGTGTTTCGTAACTTTCACTCTTATCGAGTGTAATACTGAGAAACTTGACGTGAGATATGAAAGTGTGACCATTGAAATTTCTATTTTTCCTATTTTGAGGTGATACTGGAAAATTTTTATCTTTTTGGAGAGTTCGCGTTAACTTGGCGCGCAATATTTGTGTCTTTTTCACTGACTCCATGAAAAATTGCAAAGATTGCTTATTTCAAGTTCGAAACGGAGTAATAAAAATTTATTGAATCTAACGATCAAAGTGTAAATGTGGAAAGAAAGTCTCTTGGGGCACTGTGTATTCTCATGCTTATTTAATAAGTGAAAATTTATCGAATTTTGTGATACGAGGATAAATATAAAAAGGAGATCCCTCGGACCACTGTATACACTCGTGTTTATTTTAACTTCGAAAGGAATTAATAAGTAAAAATTTATTGAATCTAAAAGGAGATCTTTGGAGCACTGTATATTCGCGTGCTTATTTGATAAGTGAAAATTTATCGAATTTAGCGATATAAAAATCTTGAAATCTAACGACACAGGAATAAATACAAAAGGGAGATCCTCGAGACACTGTCTATTCTGAAACGTCAGCCAAACGGTACCTACCCTCGATAATCAAACTCGCATAAAATTGAAAGCTCAAGAGCGTCCAATTTTTTTTTTACTCGTGCGGAACAATCGGAGACCTTCAGGAGTCGGTGAATTACATAAATTTCGCAGTGACTGGTAGAGGGAATTATTTAAAGCAGTCCGTGCACCGGAAGCTGCTCGTCGTTCTATCATTGACACCTGTTCTCAGCTGTCGCTGGCAGTCACCGCGATCGTTACGCGGCCCATGGCGACACGGTATCGCCCCTTATTCCAAAGCTGCATGCCAATTTTGTCGCATTTATAATGACGCCTCTCTGTGTACGCGAAACGCCGTCCGTGGATGGACGATGCAATTTGCCGGTTAATTTCGTCGTGGACCGCGTACCGGCGCAGCAGCGGCCATCGCTGTTCCGTTAATTGGTCGTGGTACGTCGAGCAGACCAACTTTAGTCACCTGCATTCTCGTGGGAAAGTGCATTAAATAGACCGTGAATCGGGGGGATTATGCGACTAGAGAGAGCGTTGATAATTAACCATCGCCTCGAATCATCGATAACACACGTCCGTCCCTTTTTTCTCTCCTCGGCGTCTCTCGATTACCTTGAATGTATTAGGTCATACCGTAAGTTCGCGTCGAATTTTGTAATTTTGTAATTTTCATCGATACTCCCAACGAACCTTCAAATTTGATAGAAAAGCACTTAGGTGCCTTATATTTAGCAGGTCGTCGTGTCAGTTCGCGTCGAATTTTGTAATCTAGATGGATATTTCTAACGAACCTTTAAATTTGATAGAAAAATAACGTAAGTGCCTTCTCATTCCACAAAGTGTTTCTTGGTTAGATCGTTACATCTTCGCTGAGGTATTTCCTTCGATTTTTATTCAAATATTCTTCGCTTTCGGAAGGGACTTATGGGATAACCGAATATTAGGCGTAGAAATGAATTCTTTCCGACTGGACTCGCATAATTGATTCAAAGCCACCGAGTTTCCATCGCGATGGTATTCACAAGAAAATTATTTTTATTATTTATAAATTTACACGAGCAAATTTTCTTTTTAAATAAAATTCTCACTGTACCAATTATCCTAGATAGCGTTGATCATCGACAACTAATTAATTTGCATTGCCAAAGAGGTTTCACGAGGACGTAGTAACAGTCAAGTACGATTACGGACGAATTATACGATTTACCGACGAGATGAATGCTTCTTTCTCTTGTCAGGCACAGGTACCTTCGGCAGAGTAGTACTATGCAGGCATCAAGGCACACCGTTAGCCTTAAAGATTCTCTCCATGGTGGACGTGATCAGACTGAAGCAAGTGGAACACGTACGAAACGAGATCACCGTGCTTAAAGAGGTCAAGCATCCCTTTATCGTGAACATGTAAGTCGGATTTGCTTTCTCCTTTCTCCTCTTTGATCGAGACGTATAACAATGTTCTCGTTGGTTATGATCGGTGAAGAAACTGTTGCTTCCAACGCGAACACGCGGATCTGTGGAAAAGAAAGCGTAACTTAGGACGACGAGAGTGATACCAATTCTTCGTGAACTCTGTTGTTTCGCAGTTAGAAAATTGCATACTTCTCTTTGTTGTATTTATGAACGACGCTTTATTCAAGGGCGTTGACCCTTTGATACTTAGTATGTGATGAAAATTGAAGAGGGAAAATACTGTAAAGTTCGGGTCGCCTGGTAGATTTATCAGAAAAATTGCATTTAAATATTAAAATAAGTGGGATTGTAATCCGATTGAACTCTTCTCAGATAAAGAAAAGCCCACAATTGAGTAACTAATTACCAAAATACCGAAATTATGTCATAAAGCAACAGGTAGGATTCGTTCGAGAAAAACACTTTCACAATTACAGCTTTTATTTTTAATCACAATTAAGTGTACACTTTCACCAGAATAAAGTAACATTTCATCCGCACGCTCCAAGCTTTTGAGCTACACAGTAGAATTGCGTGTAAAGTAGCCAAAATAGAAATTCTGAGGGAAGACAAAGACCGGCGAGAAACATCGATATTTCAGAGCACAGAGGAGCCTAATAATTTTCCACGGGAGATAAATCAAAGGAACGAAAGAGAAAAAGAATCGCGAATTTAATTTTAGAAAGAAACAATTCTCCATTGTTTCATCTTCTTCTACAGTCATATTTCCTCTTCGTAGACTATTACGGTTGGTAACGTCAGCTACGTTTCAGGCTCTGGAGCGGAAGGGACGAGGCAAGGGTGTACATGTTACTGGAGTTCGTTGCCGGTGGCGAGCTTTTCTCATATTTAAGAGCAGCTGGCCGATTTTCCGGGCCCACCAGCTGCTTCTACGCGGCGGAGATCGTCTGTGCCTTGGAATACCTGCACAGCAAACACATTGTGTACAGGGACCTGAAGCCTGAGAACCTCCTGTTGGACAGCCAGGGCCACCTGAAGATTACAGACTTTGGCTTCTCCAAGAAACTCACGGACAGGTAAAAGGACCTCGTTCCTGGAATAAGCGTGAAGTAAGAGTAGCGTGGAAAAATGGGAATATTCCCCATTCCGATGGAAATACTCACTGCAGAAGTCTGAACTTCGATTACCATTAATTGCACTGTATACAAAATTGTAACATAAAAATTTCATTTGTGTAGTAAATATACATGTACCTGAAGTGAACCTCGTCTGAGGTCCCAAATTAGTTTAAGCAAAAATAGAGATACACAGAAACTAAAATTATCCAGTGTGAAATTCGAAGCATTTTATACTTTTTACAATTTTTTTTCAGTTATCATCAAGCATAGGAATATTAATCACCTTACAAAATTTCACTGCATAAAGAGTTGCGACTGAAAAATTTCATTTCCATAGTGAATATGTTTGTAGCTGCGATGGGCCCCGTCTGTGATCCCAAATTAATTTAAATAAAAGAAAATAGAGGTACACAGAAGTTAACATTATCCAGTGTGAAATTTTGCAGTCTTTATAATTTCTTTTCAATCATCAAGTACAGAAATATTAATCACTTTACCAAATTTCACTGCATAAAGAGTTGCGACTGAAAAATTTCATTTGCATAGTAATAGCCGAAATGGACCTCGCCTGAGGTCCCAAATTAATTCAAAGAAAAAACGAAAAGGCTAGAGACGCGCAGAAGCAAGAATTGTCCACTACGAAACGCAATTTTTCTAAAATCATGATTATCTCCAACACCTCTCCGATCGTATCACACTTAGAAGGTCTCTTTCACTCGTATCTACGCATCGACCACTCGAACGTTACTGTTTAAACACACGATAGATGCATCGACGCGACTGCACGCGACATAATTATTTTATTTCCACGATAGACTGTAATTTATCGATATTTATAAGTCCGGAATCGTATTTATAAGTAGATTATTTATAAGCGGGCTATGAATTTAAACAAGGTGAAACTAGGCATTAATTATCCTGTACGATTGTTGTGCTTGTAGAACGTGGACTTTGTGTGGTACGCCTGAATATTTGGCACCAGAAATAATTCAAAGCAAAGGGCACAACAAGGCGGTGGACTGGTGGGCGCTCGGTGTTCTAATCTACGAAATGTTGGCCGGCTTTCCGCCGTTCTTCGACGATAATCCTTTTGGCATCTACGAGAAAATACTGAGCGGCAGGATAGAGTGGCCAAAACACATGGACCCGATCGCCAAGGATCTGATCAAGAAGCTTCTCATTGCCGACAGAACGAAGAGGCTGGGAAATATGAGACAAGGAGCTGACGACGTTAAGAGGCATCGTTGGTTCAAATTAGTCGAGTGGCCATTGGTAATTTTGATTAACCAATTACTCTCCTCTCGATGTGACTTGTCTTCAAATTTGTTATTTAAACTGAAATTTTTAAAAATTGAAAACCATTTCTTGAGTATCATTTTATCTTCTAATTTGTGGAGTATCAATTTTGGAACTGTCGGTGAAATTTAGTCGAATCAAAATTACTCCAGAATCATTCGAATTGAAAATAATTTCGAGAATCTTACTTTAATCTTCAAATTTACAAAAATAGAATTTTCTTTTTATAATTTTGAAACTGTTACCGAAATAAATTTTTAAGCTGCCATTGAAATTATTCCAATCAAAATTACTCGAACTCGGAACAATTTCTTCTCACGTTGATCTTCAAATTTAATAGAAGTACACTTTTCTAATTACGAAACTGTTATCGAAGTACCCCGAAGAATTCCCTCTCGAATCGACTCATATAGGCCAAATGTTTATCAATCGAAAATTGAACGAAATCCAAAGAGGAAAGTGTAATAGTTTAAAATTATCCCCTTTAAAATTCTTCCACAAAATAGGATTCGCCTGAAACCGTTCTTTCTTCTATAAATAGGTGCCGCAGAGAGCTTTAACACCCCCAATAAGACCGCGAGTAAAAGCGCCAGGTGATCCAAGCTGCTTCGACGATTATCCTGAAACCGACTGGCGTTCCCAGCCTCCGTTGCCGCCGGAACAACTGGCTCTGTTTCAAGATTTCTGAAAGAAACGCCATGAACATTGATTCGCACGTTCGAACCGTGCCAAACCCCCGCGCGCATTGACGTAAATTACTACGAAGAGCTTCCGTGTCAAGATTTAGGATTGACGATCGTCGGTCAGACCTAACAACCATTGTGATGTGTATAGAATCGAGCGAGCTTTTTATCACGTTCAACCAACGGGAAGTTGTGCTGAACTTTTTGTACATAGCGACGAACCATTTCTCTTCTTTTTTTTTTTTTCTCTATTATCTCGTTGTGCATCGTTTATTTATTTATACTCGTTGCGTAGGGCTTAGGCGTTCCTTTTTCTCTTCTTCTTCTTCTTCGCATGTTTCAAAGAAATTGTAAATAAATTATAGATAGTATAACCGCGAGCCAATCGTGGACGAATCGATCGACTACTGCAGTATGTTCCTTCTAATGCGTGATAAGCGATTGTTGACGGAAAAAATGAGTATAATTTTGTAAGAAACGTGTAAAGTATTGTAAACGACGTATCGTATATATGTGTACGATGCGTATCGGATCGGAATTAAATCGTGAATTTTTTAAATTTCAAACTGATCGACCGTGGCAGTAACGAGAATTATTGTCCTGGCTGTGTGAACCTTGTATTCGGTAGCAAAAGCCGACGTTTCAGTATGTGATTAACTGCGATAGAATCGCTCCACGTGCACGCCACTCGTGTTTCATTAATTTTTCAACAAGTTCATGTATAATTTGTGCGAAAAAGCGACACGCTACGCTGCTGAACTTCGATAAAACGCGGCATTCTACGTAGAACTAAATCAGTATCCCATCGCGAGCTTCACGAAAGCTAGAAAGTATTGCAATCAAATCGGGGAGACTTTTTAATTGTAAAAAAATTACCGGTGAATCATGTCTGAAGCGTTTCAAAGAAGAAATCAGAAGTTCTCGAGGCAAGCAGCAGGTAGAATTAACGTGAGATCGATTGTAAACCTTCCAAGGAAAGAGAACAATTTCCCTGAGAAAAGTAAGAAAAATCCGACTCCGGGAGACGTTTTGAACGATTATCTGGAGAGCACTTCGGTGCACGGTTTGCAGTATTTCGGTAAAATAGGCATTAAAGTCGGAGTTCCTGGGAAGATCCTCTGGACCTGCACCATACTGACCTGTTTCGTTTGTACCTGTCGTGTTTCCACTTGAAAAATTGCTTATAAAGCTGTAACAGACGATTGAACGCAGCCTCGTTTCAGGTTTGAGCTTAATGGTGGTACAATTTCTCCAGCGTTACAATCAGAATCCAACTAATACTTATATAAAAACGTTCGAAGCTCCTATTTATCAGGCGCCGTTTCCTGCAGTCACGGTTTGTCCAATTTCGCCGATTTCTTTGAAAACGAGCCTCGCCATTTTGGAGAACTGTTTCGTGCCTGAGAACGTGAGCAGAGAGGTTCTGTTACATTTGTTACAGTGGGTATAGAAAAGACGATATAGAAATGTTTGTCAGTGAAAATGGATGAAATTGAACGAAATTTTATTTAGATATGGCCACCATATGACTCATCCTTATTCGGTAAAGAGCTTTGAACACTTCGACGTATTGAAAGAGTTCTTGAACGTGAACAAATGGACGGTGCCTGATTTTCTCAAGATTTTAACACCCTGTGCGAATATGTTTGAGTCCTGCTGGTGGAGTGCTGAACGTATAGATTGCAATAAATACATGGAGGCAACACATAGCGCTTACGGGATGTGCTGCTCCTTTAATTATCGCCTCGCCGAGTACATAGGAGCGGAGAAGCAAGTATCTTAACGCTTTCGGCACGGCTGATTTTAGACACCGGGTGCAGAATGTAAAAGAAATCTTTCTGAAATATTTTTCTATATAATAGAAATAGTAACGATATTTTTTAATAAACAAGCTAATATTTTTCTATATGCAATAAAAATGTGATAAGGAAAAGGTGAGATAGTGGAAAGCGTGTTCTGTGCCGAAAATTTTAGTAATATTCGAAAAATTAGGGAGATCGTTGTTGATAGGATGTTGTTTAATTTGATATCTTTTTACTGATAACAACGAAGAGGACAGCAAAAATTGAAGCTCCTGAGCTCCCCCGATTTCGGTCGATGGAGTGGTTTGAAACTGGTGATCGATAAGGAAATGTTTGCTGTCGAGGATAACACAGAAGACTTTATGAAAATCACTTATACCAACGGCATAATGGTACTAGGAAATTACAATTTTGTAGTAATTATTGGGTAATCAGAATGCAAATTCAATTTTTTGTCTCCTTTTAACAAGATACTTACACATCACAGTATGGATTATCCAGGACTCAACTCTAATGCGTACATTTTGCGAGCGAATACTGAATTGGAGGTGATTTGTTAACGCTATTTCAGAAATTTTCAAAATTTTTTAAAAGTTCACTTATACTCTGTTTCTATATTTCGTTTCATTGAAGAAAATACCGAATTAAAACATTAAATAATTCATTACCGACGAATACGATCACTGTTATTCATTTATTTTACCAGAAAAATCAATTGAGACACAGAACCAAGTGCACAAATGATCAGAAATAGTTAGAAAAGTTCAACTAATCGAAGAATGCGCAGAAAATGAGAAGGCGTGCTCTAAAGAAGAAAAATATCAGTGTTATCGTTACAGATCCCCATAAAACCGGTGAGCATTGTGAAACCAAAAGGTTTTCACCATCGCAACAGAGAGAACCAATTAGTGCCCCTTTGTTTCACGGACAAGGAGAACCCCTTGGAATACTTTCCCGCCTATCGAAACTCGAACTGTTACGTTAACTGTCGAATCAAGCTCATGATCCAGATCTGCGGATGCGTACCGTTCATCTTCGACCACATAGCTGAAGCCTTCGACATCCCAGTAAATATCGTAGATTCTCTCTGGTGAAACGTTATTTTTTAACACGAATCTCGAGATCGTCGCACATCGATCAATTTTTCTAGCACTGCGAGCTAGATGGCCTGCAGTGTATTCGAAAGAACCTGATCTACATAGGCGTCGCGAAGGACATTCAAAATAAGAATTTCCATTGCGCCTGCGGTGTCCCTTGCGAAGACGTGGAGTACAACGGGTTGCCTAACTCGATACCCCTGATGAAAGCTAACTTCTCGTGAGTTTTGTCATTTCTGCGATAACACTGTTTCGAAGGAAACGATTCGAATGATTTTTCGTGAAAAAAGAAGCCGAAAATGTGGAATAAAATTTCTTCTTAGCTTGGTTTTTGAGAAAATTGAAGTTAAGTATTCGCGAGTGCTCTAATAAGCGGTATTAACGTCGCTCTAAGGATTGGTAATGCATTTATTAAAAATTTGTTTAGTTAAAATCTTGATCTTCGAATCAGAGAATCGTGGATTAACGATATGATATTTTGGCATTTCAATTCTTCGAAAATCTGTACGATTTCTTTTCTTTAACCACAGAAGATTTATATTATTTTTCGTGTAAACCATTCGTTCGCGAAATGTGACATTACACCGAATCTTTTTAAGTTCAATTTTCTCGAAAAGGAAGGTTTTCTCTATAAGATTTTATTATACACTTTCGACTCGTTTTTTCACGCAGAATCACATCCTTCGCGATTGTTCCATCAACTGCAGAACACTCTGTGTAATATTAATATATCTCTGCAGTAGATCAAGGACAGAAGGAACGGCCACCGTCAGAGTCTACATGTACTCTCAATTCTACCAAATACTGGAAACACTCCCAGCGGCTGACAAAACTTACCTCTTGGGTATCAATTTTAACCAACCTTCCAATTCTTAGCAAACAATCAAACCGTTTCTCGTTCTAATTATATCCACCATTTATTCCAGCGTCAATCGGCGGAATATTCAGCCTGTTCCTCGGATGCAGCTTCCTCAGCCTCATAGAAATCGTTTACTTCGCCTATCTATTCTGTCGTTCTCTTTGCTCGCGCTGCAAAACGGAACCTCAAACTAAGCAAATACCCCACGAAAATCCCCCGAACAGACGTCGTTACGTCTATTAATCTCCGCTAAATTACCTTTCCCTCGAGTATCGCTTAGAAAAAAACCCCTGCAACATGTCAACTTTTCCAACAGCTGAGCTCGATAATTTCGATCGACACGACTCGTTACACAGGTTCTATTGTGTAACACGGCACATGCCTCGGCTGACCAAGAATCTGGAGCAATTCGATCTATTTCGAGCGATTACTGGAACGCCACCGTGAAGGAAGGCCAGCGTTTACCTCGTAAAAATATTTACCGTCTCTCCTCTTTGAAGTTCCGTCGTCGTTCGCTCGTCGTACCAGCATCTTTTGATCGCGAGAGTCCACCCAGGAAACCTTGTTTAATTCCCAAAGGAACAACCGCGACGACAGTTAATTACCATCTCGGTTAGGCGCACTTGTGTCACGAAACCGGAAGTCGCGCGTCCCCTGGCTCCGCGTAATTAATTTTCCTCGCGAGCGTGTAACACGATAGGAACGAAACAGCTTCCAACCGAGACGAGAATATACATATATATATATATACGTGGAACGTGAAATCCGGACGAGAGAGAACCGATTTATTCAAATGGATATCACGTTTGGCGTTCGAGGAAAGAAAAATGGAAGGGAGAGATCGACGTTCCTTCCCGCGGTATTTCTATTTATAAGCGAAAAAGTATTCGAGACTCTCGAGATCGAAGACGAATCGGTAATACGATCCACGCGAATCAACATCAGCATGCAGACATATCGGTTGCGTAATAATCGTGGAAATTATTTGGTACACCTTTTACACGATAGATCTCCTCGCGTGTGTGCAAGAGAGTTACTTACGACGTTCATATCGTCTATTTTCGGAAGTGCTATCGAAAATACCGATTTAGTTCTGTGTACGCCGGACGTGTTTCAGGCTGGCTTGTAAAAGAGAGCTGGAAGCATCGCTTTTCTATTTTCGACCGAAGATACGCCCACGTGTTTCTTAACCATCGTACATGTACCCCGAAGATGTGTTTTCTATCTCGCGATTTATTTTTTCCTTACGTCTACCCAAGTTTCCGTGCTTCCCAGTAACTCCCGGCGTATGTAATGCATTTGCCTTTTCTTTACGTTCACCAGGAGGGACGCAACGTTGCACGTTTCTCACGGAGAGCTGCGGTTTATTAGAAATAGGAGCATCTCTCGGACGCCCGATTATCTATTATCTATTATCAGAATATACAGAAAATCGTGGAGAGAAAGGGCGATACGAACACGTTGCGAAAGAGTTTAAAAGGTATTACACTGGTCTCGTTCATTTTTTTCAACGAATTTTTCAAAGCAACGCACAGAGAACGAAAGAGGTGGTGATCTGGTATACATATGTATCCTGTCGTGTGATCGATCGAAGGGGATAATCCGGTTGTCGACGTGAAACTTATTTCTCCCTTCGTGCTTCTTACTTCGCTCCTACAATCAGCAAAGGGAAGAAGATTTGACTGGGTTCGCAGAGAGTGGTGTATTATGTCGCGTGATGGCCGAACGCCAGCATTGTCGCGGAGATTTCAACGATCACAATGGAAAACAAGCGATGCATTGTCTACGACGATGTGAACTTACCATGGCGAGGAATGTGTTGGTTTCGTTGGTTAAAACAGCCCCGAGTAGAGTAACCATAGGCAAATCAGCAGGAGGATCAAGATGAAGTACGTTGTTAAGATGTTTTTCGTTTCGTGGGCTGCCTGTGGCATTTTTCCGATATTTCACGGTGGATGATTCACGACACTGAAGCAAGTCGTCAACGTCAATATGATCACGATGCTCTTTTTTTCTTTTGTTTAAAGTGATTCTCTCAGCTGAGAAATAAATCCTACCTAAAATATCAATCGTTGTGTGTCTTCTTTCCTTTTCTGGTTTCTTCCTTGCTTCTTTCTTTCCTTTTTCCGTGTAACTTTCGAGAAAGTTGAAGATACTGTGACGGATCGATCGAGGGACGTAGAGAATGCGAGATCGAGGAGAGACGAGAAGATCGAACAAAAATGTACCGCGCCACTTTGCGTCCGATCTCCGACTAGATCACTCAACGCAGGATCCACGAGATACACGACGATCCCGAAATTCCTCCAGGAACCGTGTGAAGTATCCCCCACCAATTCGATCGTTGCACCTTCCCTTGTAACTTCTGATCCAGGATTGGTAGACCAGGTCCCACCACCGTCTTTTACTGCCGCGAAACCAACAAGTTCCGCCACCTCGAGTTATATTAAGCATCGGTTGAATATTGGATACAGCTTCGGTGGAAAAAGATCTTTCGATTGACTCCGCGATCATATCAGGGGTTCAAGGCCGGCTGGACGGCGATCTTTCGATCGACAGGAGGCGATGGAGTTTTGGAAAAACGTTTCGATGCAAAGGATTTTGGGAATTTTTTTTGTAACAGAGAGTGTTTTGAAGAGAGCATTCGAGAACACGAACAGTCAATGTTCGGATTTGAATACTATCTTAAAGAAAGAAAAGGGAGCAAAGTGTTTGGAAAAATGGAATTTCCAAAATTAATAAGAAGGCGGAAAATTGTGAAACGGAAGGGCACAAATTTGTAAAATAAAAACATTAATTAGAATTTTTATTTAATACAATTATTTACATTGTTTACTTAAAGATCGACTCGAATTATCCGGAAAAATCACTATTATCTCTTCGCCACTTTACCGAGAATCTTTACCGGGACTTTTATCGAATAGTTCTCTTCCAAGAACGTCCGATTCAGAATTCCTCCAGCAAGTTGCAAACAACAGATCTCACACTCTTCTACGGTTCTACTTGAAATCAACATCGAAATGGTAATTCCGAGAAGATTTTTTTCACCAGCAATGACACATCGGTGAATCGTTCTAGTCTCTTCTCTAACGAGACTTCTCGCACTACTGCAAACTAGCGTAAATTAATCACGCTACGTGCGAGCTACACCTTCCTACAAATTACGCTAATCGTTCGACGTATTAATGAGATTCGTGACGCACGGGACGAAACGTGCGTAAGTCCGAGTGCTCTCGTTACGGTGAATAGAGCGCAAACCAGCCGTAGAACGACGGGCGTTAATTTAATTATAACGTGACAGAAGAGGACGGCCGATGTCACCCAGCGGTCGACAGACCAAAAGGAATCGATTGGTATTTTTAAACGAAAGTTGCTCCTAAGATCGCCCACGCGACGAACTTGGAATCGTGACAGAATTCACGTGCGGCGCCACAATATTCCCCACGTGACCGAATGCCACAGAAATACGAAATTTTTGTCACCGAGAAAAACATCGGTGACTCATGGAAAACACCCTAATGTCACCCTCGGTTCGACCGAACGTTGCAAACAAACGCTACTTTAAGAATAATATTGCCTTTTTATTCGAGGTACGGGTGTATTCGCGGATCGGTCGTTTTTTCGCGAATTCTAGTGGGTAATTAATTTACGAGCGAGTTGTTTGGTGAGTTAGGACCAGTTTGTAGCGTTGGATCGCTTGTTTGATAAAAATAAGTGAATCGGAAGATTGTACATGCAATGTTTTGTTCGAATTAAAGGGTTAAGAATGATTTCTACGCGAAATTCGTTGCAGAATTCATTTGCTAATTTCTGGTACGTTATTCTGGAATATTCCAAACGGTAACTTTAAACGTGAAAGTGATTATTTAATATTTATATCGATTTAAACACTGTCCAGAGTGTAATTCCTCGAATTTATTAGATCGTCCCCGAAATTCGTGCCAAAACTGAATATTTTGATCGAAAATGCAATAAAATTTAACAGTGACGAGATAACAGATCTGTATGAAAGTGGTAAGATGTAAAACGAAAAGAGGAATTACGTTGTTTCGTAAAATAGGAAAATGTAAATTGAAATTGTAATTTTAACTCGATGGAAAATCCATGGTAAATTGACGGAACGGCCTAACGCATTTGCCAGTTTCTTAACACGACCAAAAACGAACGATAAACAGATCTATAAATCGATTCCTCTCGAACAGCATTTAACGGCGAGCAGTCCTTCGATCTGATCGATGGCTCTGACTCTATTCTCGTCCCGAAAACTGAAAGGCTGTTCGCGAGATTAAACCGTTTAATTAAACCACGCTAACGTACTCGATCATTTTCAGGCCTTCGGCCAATTTTAACTCGTAAAGCAAACATTAACCTCGCGAATGGACAATCCGCGAACATAATCCAATCTGAGCCTCGCGATTCATCGTTTACGTAATACTCGCGCAAGACACGTGACCGCGTATACCGAGTAGCAAGATTTTCCTCGTCGACAGGTTATCAATGAGAAACGTGATCAATCCTTGACAAGTCAATCCTAAACGTGAGAAACAACACAATGCTATAAAATACTTCTTTATTTCTGTCCGCGACATAGTGTGTACAATTGACTGTGGTAACTTAAAGTAAACATCCTATCGACCGACTTAACGATCAAATTATAAAAGTAGGTACGCAAAGTATGGCGTGAGTCGTGTAGAAATTACCAAGGTACAGCTGTTAAAACGAAAGTGTCTATATAAATAAAGAGAAAAAGACAAAATTCATCTGCGTAAATAACGGAATATAAATCCTAAGATCACGTTCGTAAGAGAAAGTTATCAACAGATGTTTCCATTGGCACAGATGATACAGCCAGTTTTTATGTATCCTTAAAGATTCTAGACACATGTTCGCGCGCAAAGGGATAAAAAGAGAGGAAGAGCGACGAAGAGGCAAGAAGTTTTCCCACACTGGACTGTAACGATCCGTGTTGAACGTTCTCGAAACGATCGGTTAGGTACCTTCGACACTCTTTGTTCCTCGACACACAACCGGATAATAATTAACGGCTATACGTGTATAAGTACAATAGATTATGCTTGGCTCGTAACCGAATCGAGCACGCGAACCGGTCCGAGCGTATTGAGAATAGCAATAACGCCTGTACAATGAGAACCGCGCAAACACTTAAGACTATTTAACCGTTAACGCGTCTGTATCGCGATTTAGAAGCGTATTTCTTCCAGAGAATTCTCGTCGAATCACGCCAGAGAGAATCCTAGAACGTCCTCCAGTGAGTAATCGAACAACCTTAGGTCTAATTTGTACAAATTCGCCAATTTTCGCAGCTGTTTATAGGTTAACGTGGAGTAGTATTTCTCTAGCTTCTTCGCTGTTGGCTCGCTGTTCGCTGGTTTCGCTGGAAAACTGTAGAAAATTTAGGTGGAATTAAATATGGAGATTTTCGAACGTTTGATACGGTGGAGAGATATTTTTGAAGAATTTACTTGACTGACTCGACGCCCATTCGTTCCAGTACCTCTGTGGCGTCTTCTACTAAGCTCTCGTATTTGCTGACGAGATTATAATTGACCAGACACGGCTGACAGAGCTCGTATATCGGCTTCCAGTGCTCGTTTCGTGTCTCGTTGGACGAATCGTCTGTGACGAACTCGACGAATTCTCGAAACGTCACGTCGTCACCTTTTCTTAAGGATTCCTCGGTAGCGTTGTGCCTGTACCTCTGTGAAAAATTGAAAATGAACACATTCTCGTGAAATTTTTCTTCTGTGGAAATAGAGCTTTTGTTTGATTTGCAAATTTCGTACTTTGAACTTCCGTATGGAAGAAAAGAAGGTTTGAGAAATTAGAGAATATGTATTCTATGGAAAACAAATTTTGTTCTATGGGAGAAAAAGTTACAGAAATTAGCATTGTGCCTATGTCTCTGCAAAAATTTTGAAATAAAAATCGTCAAATCGTTTTCTAAAATTTCTATTTTATGGGAGAAAAGAAGGTTGCAAAAATTAGCATTGTGCCTATATCTCTGCAAAAATTCAAATAAAAATCGTCAAATCGTCTTCTGAAGTTTCTATTTTATGAAAGTAAAGAAGGTTTGAAAAATTAAAGAGCATACTCTATGGAAAAGAATTTTTGTTCTGTGGAAGAAATGAAGGTTACAGAAATTAACATTACGCCTCTACCTCTGCAAAAAATATTCTCGTGAAATTTCTTTTCTACGGAAAAAAGAGGTTTTAAGCAGAAAAAAATTTTGTTCTCTGAAAGAAAAGAAGGTTGCCAAAAGTTAAAAATAAAAATCTCGCGAAATTTCTTTTCCATGCAAAAAGAAAAAAAGAAGAAAGCTTATAAAAATTAAAGAATACCCTGATAATCTTCTTCCCGAAACGAGTTTGGAAGTATCTCGAGCTCTTCTCGTGTTTCGCCTCCAGTTTGTTCCTGTAGGCAGACAACAGCCTTTCCAACGGGTGTCTGACGACTATCAGTTTGTCGTAAGTCGCCAGCATTCGTTCTATTTCAGGTAGAGTGTAGTTACTGAGCCTGAGGAAGGTACCTGGGGAATGTGCTTGATAGGCAGGTATCTCCATAGGATCGTTACCTGGCCATTTCCCCGTGGCTACCATCAGAACACGTTTCCAGTTCGTACAGGCGACCTGCCGCGCAACAATCCAACGATTTTTAAACGGAAACGTGATATTGTCTATGGTAATGCGTTTACTGCCAATCAAAGTTCGATGCGGTGGATTGTTAACACGCGTTACGAAAGCACCTTCAACCGTGCAATATGAATTAGCGCTGGAGATGTTGCAATTGCTGACCGGAAATCAGAATTTAGATAAGATAATATATTAAGTGCTGTTAAATTGTTCGTTATTGTGTTTGGCCAACACTTCACCGTTGTTACGAAATCTTCCATTCTTCTATCGATCATTTTCTAACGTGTCTGGAATTCTTTACACGAGCCTCGTTTATTTTTAAAAATGAATTCTAACCAGTGCTCTTCTTTGCATAAACTACGAATATATTACAAAATCGTAAAATGTAAAAGTAAAAAATTGTAATGTAATTTTAAAAATAACAAAATTGTGAAATATATTGAAAATAAATTTGTATTACATTTATCAATTGTTTATTTCATTTAAAAAATTTATACGTCAGGAGACACTTCAATCGCTCGAATTTATGCAAAAATCTACTTTTCAAAGTTGCGTGAATCATGAATGAAAATAAATTTGCATCAAACTTGTGAATTGCTCAATTTGTAGAAGAACTTTATATCTCACGAGACACTTCAATCGCTCGAATTTATGCAAAAATCTACTTTTCCAAATTGTATAAATCATGAATGAAAATAAATTTGTAACAAACTTGTTAATTGCTCAATTTGTAGAAGAACTTTATATCTCACGAGACACTTCAATCGCTCGAATTTATGCAAAAATCTACTTTTCCAAATTGTATAAATCATGAATGAAAATAAATTTGTATCAAACTTGTTAATTGCTCAATTTGTAGAAGAACTTTATATCTCACGAGACACTTCAATCGCTCGAATTTATGCAAAAATCTACTTTTCCAAATTGTATAAATCATGAATGAAAATAAATTTGTATCAAACTTGTTAATTGCTCAATTTGTAGAAGAACTTTATATCTCACGAGACACTTCAATCGCTCGAATTTATGCAAAAATCTACTTTTCCAAATTGTATAAATCATGAATGAAAATAAATTTGTATCAAACTTGTTAATTGCTCAATTTGTAGAAGAACTTTATATCTCACGAAGCGGTTCGATCAAAGACCTATTTTTAAAAGAACTCGTGCTCTAAAAAGATAAACTACATTGCTTTCCTACGACCTTAAAAACCTACCTCAACGTGCTTCTTATTCCAAACTAACCAGCGACTGATTAACGGAACCAGACACTTCTTACTCGTATTTTTTCACCACGTTAT